TAAGCGTTAGCTTGGAGTGTATACTGTACATTCCTGATTGTATAGTTTATTTATTATTATGATTGTTTGTTGTTGTTTGACAGTGGCGACACTGGAATAATGCTGCAGAGAGGAACAGCGATAACCAAAGTAATGGTCATCTCTCCTGGAACCACAAGAACATTTATTTTCTTTTTCTACATTTTTCTATTCATGTTGATATTGACATTGCTCTGTGAAATAAAGATATTTAATTTTGAAGTTTTTATTGCTTGTTTTGCATAATATTCACAATAATGCATATCTTATGCAATTGTCTATAGCCCTGAGAAATAACGGTATAATGCTGGCGTCCCTGCTGCCAGCTCTTTACCGTAAATTCTAGAAATACTGACATATATCGTTTTTCTGGTTTACAGACTACTACCGTAAAGTCATTTTACATACGAATACCGTAAAAATAACGGTATACTACTGGCGTCCCTGCTGCCAGCTCTTTACTGTTATTTTACAGGAAAACTGTTTATAGTGTAGCACAAGCCAGCATAGACCAGCATGCTGGCTGGTGCTAGCTCTAGAGCTGGTTTGCTGATAGATGAGCATAGCTATGTTGATAAAAAGCAAGGGTGACCCAGTAACTCACATGTGATACTTAACATACCAGTGGAGCAAAAAAGAGCACTGAGCATGCACATCTCAGGGGCTTGGGGCTTGTCATATGGATGCCAATTAGAGTTAATTGCACTAATCTGTGAATGCTGTGAATGGGAGGGAATGGGAGTGAAACCAACTATATAGGAAAACACGGACTGAGCATGCTTAGGCAGTGAAGAGATCTATGGTGCATGCTGTTACACAGGTTCCAATATTACACTCCATTATGTACTGACACTGCTCTACTCTGGCTCTCACCTCATACCTCTCACATTACCAACATAACGTAACCATTCCAGAGTATACTTACATGGACATAGCTTTTTCTGCAATTATCTAATACACAATTACTGTTGCCTTGGTGCCTAGGCATGAGAAGACTGATGTGTCAAGCTAGTTTATTCTCAAGTTTCCTGGTAAATAATTTGCATTTAAATCACCGAATCCCATTTTGAAAACCATTCTAGTATGTGTGAGGAGTGTCTACAACAAATACAAAAACTGAAGCATGCTGCATAACTAAGTTGTCAACATTATGGTTGCTAAAATTATGGTAAACATAACAAAAATGGTGTGTTTAATACTTTTGTTTGACCCATTAGTAAAGCTGGTTGAGTTGGGTTGAACACTGATTATACTCTGTAGTTTTGTTACAATGAAAAATAAAGTGAAGGCAGCTGTTGGCAAAGTAATGTTTAGTCCCTACTAACCAGGAAGATCTTTATTTGCTGTTTCTAAAAAGCAGCCGACGCCGCCCTTGTCTCAAGCCCTTAGTAGTCTATTCATCTGGGCGCCCCTTTTCTGCCCCCTGGCCTGGACCCTAAAGACCTCAAACCCTCGCCCTTTGAGGGAACTCGGTGGGCCCTCTGTCCTGGGGGTCCAGGAAGAAACCTCCACAGGTTCCCTGGCCTGGTCATTGTGACGTCCCTAGTGACTCCAGAGGACCCAGGTGTGCCAAGGACAGCGGCCCCGCCAGGGCCCAAAAGGGTCAGCATGCCGACAATGAGCCGCCAGCTGGGGCCGCAGTTCCTGTTCCTGTACCCAGTGTCCAGCTGCCGCAGCCCCCTCTTTGTCTGTTCTGTCTGGACCTCCAACAGCTGCAGCAACATACTCCTCGTCCGTCTCATCCAGGCCCCCGGCAGCCGCTGCAGACTCCTTGTCCATCCTGTCTGGACCCCCAGCAGCTGCAGCTGCTACCTCCGCCTGAGCCTGCAGCTGCTGCCTCCAGTATAGCAACTTCCTGTTCCTGTTTACGAGCAGGTCGGTCTGTTTATAGGTTTGGTGTAACTGCAATGCAAGTATTGGAAATGAAAGGAAATGTGCAAGCCAGTTTGAATCTTACAGATCATGTGAAGTTAATTGCCCACCCCTGGGTGCAAAGTCATGGCTAGTCATGGACGTTGCCCTTTGATCTACTGTACAGAATGTAATTGCAATGCCATTTTACTTAAGACGCACTATGTGTGACACATTATGTCAGTCATCTACTTGGTTTTGGGGGTGAAGACAACCCAGTTAATAAGTGCTTGAACCATGTCTTTACCAAAGCCAAAATACAAATGCATTTTCTTCCTTTTTTGTTTTTCATTGACATTCAAGTATGAATAACATTGTCATCCAAACCAGAAAAAAAAATACTAGATAACCAAATAAAATAGTTATTTCTTCTTCTAGGTCATATCCTTTCTGTTCAGTGCAGTGACATCCCCTGTGGTATGGACGAAGTGAATTCTACGTAGCTCTGTGTATGGAGGACAACAGAGAATGTTCAGTAGCAACAAATGGTATATCATATTTGAAGACAAATAAAAAAGTGAGGCAATAGACCAACTGACTCAGTTACTGTATTTGTCACATCACCTGTGGCCATGACAATTATGGTGATGAGGAGTAGGAGGATGATGATGAAGCAAAAGTAGTCTGATATCCATGACACGTTACGTTTGTTTTACATGTATTATTGTAAATAAATAAGCACACCCCCTCCTCCCCGTTCCCTCGTCATAGCAGAAATGGCTCCATGGCACATCACTTGTGTCTGCACTAACACCACAGTGGTGACAGCACTGGGTCTACTCCTTTAAATGAGCCTTTGCGCATAGCCTTCGAATCACCACAACTGCATCAGTGCTGGCTGGGTTGCTTAGCAACTGGACAGCACAGAGATCACTGAAGAAAACCTCTTCTTCTGTATAAAACGAGTCTTGAATTGTTGTGTGCGCCTGTAAGCAAGCATCTTTATGTTTCAAATAAAAAAGAGAAAATTTTGGTTTGTGAAAAAGTACAAATATTTTTTTTTAAAAATATCGTTGTTCTTGTTGTGCGAGTGCGTGTAGATGTAGCCTATGATTGTGTGTGGGTACCTACATACGGATGTGTTTGTGTGTGTGCGTGTTTCAAAAATGTGACAAAGTGGAAGAAATGCACGAAAACGCACCGGCACACACTCACAGCATCCTAACGGATTTCAGAGAGAACAGACAGACAATTCAGCCCGTGAATGGGCTGTTGCTAAGGAATTCACATTAGGTTTCCCCCTTTCTACCCCGGCAATAGGACACCAAGAGCTTAAACGAAATATAAAAAAAATCAAGAAGAAACAAGAGTTCCTTATCATGTCTCTCTGAACTGTTGAATATCTGTCGTTTCATCAGTGAGAAGACGAGCGGACCAGAATAACGTGTGCAAACGCCATTTAACATCGGACATCGGAGGCAAGTGGGCTTGTCAGACAGGCTTGCATTTTTGATATGAAATCCGACGTTGTGATACATGCTTTGGCGTATCAGGGGGCATCCATATTTCTGGGCATCTAATGTTTTTTTCACCAGAGGAGTGATATAGCCTGCTCTGACGTCTGCATCAGATATTACCCACTGATTTTTCAATGTGCATTTTCCCCTCAGTGACTTTGCACTGATCTACATCATCATCAACAGCAGCAACGGAAACAAGGGAATGAACATTTCTTTCATCTTTTAATAAACCCCTCTGCTTCGCTTCAGTCGACCAGCGATTCCAGCTCAAACAAATATCTTTTAACAGTATCACGTTGTGGAATAGTCTGGCGCCAGAGCTGGAACCATGCCTCTTCTGCAGATTTGGACTGGGAAATTTCATCCACCAATTTGATCATCAAGAGGCTGCTGCTCAGTCATTCATGTCAGTGCTTGTTGTTTTTTAAGAGGAAGAATACTTATCATCACTTTTAAAAGTATTGTCTAGGCTGCGTTTCATTAGCAAGATGTCTGATCTTCTAGTGCTGGTGGAGGGGCTCTGTGACCTGCACGGATTTCCATAGCTGGGGAAAACAGCGGGGGCCAATTACAAGATTTTTTAATTCGAGAACCCTATTTTAATGAAGACATCGAATGCGTAGATGTAAGATAGCTTATTCGACATTTTTAAAAGGCAGTTATCTTTTGATTGCCAGTTTTTACTTTGTGCATTTTCGGGAGGACCACTGGACTGGTTGGATTATAGAAACTATATCTAAGGATTAGTGGAAATGTTGGGTCGTCAAGAAGATAAATTATGTGGAATTTTCTCTGCTCTGGCGGCTTTGTCCTTCGTATGCTTTGCTCAAAGGTAAGAAAACCTTGGTTAAAAAATACCTTTCACACCAATTGGTATGATTACTGGTCAATAAAAGGCTGAGATGTGGCAAATCGCATTAAGGGTATACCCAGGCCTATTTATTAGGGGCATTGCTGCCGATATATGCTCCAATAGAGGTAGCAGTGGCGCGCGCGAGCGTAAAACACGCGCATGCACGATACCAAGCCTTTTGTGAAACGTACTCTGATATAAAAATGGGGATATACATAGGGACCACTTCCACTCTGATGCCTGCTTAAAATGACATCAGTAGGCTACAGTAGGCTTAAACGATGATAGGATCAGTTGATCATCGATTAATTATGCTATGATAAGGAGATAGATGTGTGAATCTACAGCGCTGTAATCATTCAGCCTACAAGCCTGTTTATGTTTCACGTCTATAAACGAAAAGCAATATTTCTATTCATACAGTCATCTTAATATCTCGTTTTGCTAACCCAAACCAAATCAATTAAAATGGACAAATAGTTCCAACAGGTCATGGTCTGATGCTGCTCTTAAAACAGGAGGAAGGGTAGCCTACACGGTTTAACGTTTCAATAAATAAGCTCCTGTCTTAGTCTTGGAATGTTTACAAGAATGAATTACTGCACAAGACTCCATGATCATCATCACAGTGAGAATCTCCTGATCACTTCCTTTATTGTTTTGTTGATAAAGGCACTCATATATGTCCCCTGTGGCCTACTCCTCCTCATCTGCAGTAACCTACAGCCTCAAGACCAATATTTAAGTGCTCAGTGAGGATTGGTTCGCACTTTGTCACATTTTGATTCCTTAATAATATCAGATGAATGTGTGTGTTTCATTAGTGTTCTTTTATGAAGATGCTCTCAGGTGTCAAACCCACAAGTCGTGGAACTGGCCAGCTTGATGAACAGCTGCACTGCCTACTGTATGAGCTAACTGAACCATGCTTCCCAGACTGAGCTGAGGGCTAGAATTCTTATCAGGGAAGCGGTTTTAACTCACTTACTCTATTCATACTCATTCCACACCCTTTCTGTACCACGTAACCTCAGCTGGAGAACTGGTCTCAGTCAGGTGAAGCTGGTCGTGGCACCAGTGTTATATGTGTCAGTTCAGGTTCTCCCCAGGGATAATCTGTCTTCAGGCTCAGACCAATGAAGCCTCCACCTCTGACGGCATGACTGGAGGCTATGTTATAACCCAGAGCATATTTAATTCCATGTACATGAATAAGACTTTGCTCCTCTGCCTCATAGGTCAAACAAAAAAACTGTGACACTGTCACTTATAATGTCACTATTTTCAAGGACAGACATCAACAACATACTTGACAGTTGTATCATCATCACAGCTCCACAATGATTTGATAGTTATACAGTTAGTGGGGCTACAAGTGGAAAAATGCATATACAAGGCCCTTTTAAATACCATTCTCATGACAACAGTCAGTATACTTTTACTATTATCATAAATGATATTAAAAAATCTAATCTAATCTAATCTTTGCAGTGTGGATATTTAATTTGAATTTAAATTTTAATCTTACCAATAGGAGGTGATAGCAAAGACTGCCAGATTAAAACTGAAATCAATTAATATTGAGAATGAAATGGTCAAAATACTGAAAATTAATGCTTATTTTAGAAGAAACTGAGTTATATAGATAGATGTATAAATCTGTCTTGGATGATGCTTAGCATGTCCTAATACCTTTTAACCATTGTGAAAGATTCACCATGTTGATGTAGGAGCTTCCTCTTCAAACATAGCATTTATGGCATTAATGTTGAGAACAGAGTCAGTAATCTCAGGTACAGGCTTCATCACACAGTAGGTGTGCTATAGAGAAACAAAAGGTCTCTGACAGAGTTATCAGTCTGTTTTTGCTTCTCCCCATCCTTCCACCCCCACTCCTTTAAATATGGCTTTAAAATGTCTCTTGTGGTTTCTTCCCTCAGCTCCTCCACTGGAAGCACTGGAATGTCTGTGGCCAAGACCACCGTGGACAAGTTGCTGAAGGGATATGACATTCGTTTAAGGCCTGATTTTGGAGGTACGTGTTGTGACTTCATGTGCTTTTGGGGGCTCAAGCGCTGTTGTCGAGGATTTTATAAGTCAGCGTTTGTACACAGTGAAATTTACAAGTCATTTCTCTGAAATCTGTCAGTGTTTCGTGGCAAACTATAGGGAATAGCTTTGAAGTGACTGCAACCATGTCAGGGCTATTCACATAACGAAGATGGCTGCTCCTCAACAAGTAGGACACATAAAAATGAGCAATCAAACACTAAAATCAGGGAGAGTGAATGTAAGAAAGTTACTTTCGACTTTTCCCGTTTAGTGGTCGCCACAGCGAATCGTCACACTGACGACTGTCATGTTAACATTTGGCACGTGTTTTACGCCGGATGACGCAACCCTGATTTGAACCCGATCTCGCCGCTGTGCCTTAACTACTAGCCTACCAGGGACGGCTAGGGAGAGTGAATGCATTTATTTTTAATACTCTTTTGATTAAAGATGTTTTATGACCCCTTTGTATGACATACTGTGGCAGTGTCTCTGATTTGCAGATCAGGGAAAACAGTTTGCATCATTAACCTTTATTGGAAATTGTGCATCTTTTACATCTGTTCATTAGAATAATGGTATTTTATGATTGTTGAAAATAGAAGGCGTGAGGAACAAGTTATTAGTATACTGTATGTCACTGGGTTGATTGTTTACTGAAGCTATTTAACCACAATAATTGGTAAGCAGTATAGTAAATAAATATACATAGTAGAAATTTGAATTGCATGGGAATGCTTTATTGTAAAATTAAATATTTTTGAGAGAAAAGAACATATTTTGCAAATTATATATGGTTCCTGTAATTATGACGTATATGATCAAATTGAAAAGTATGTTTCTTGATTTATTGTTTTGACTTGTAGCATCTGGGGCTAAGGCCACTCACTGATGATGTCATAACTTAGCAATCAAATTATTGGCTGACTGACGGCCATAGCAATGGCTTTAATTCAGTGCAGTATGTGAGATTTTACTTATTAATTTCAGCACAAGCTTTATTGTCCTTGCCTTGTACATGTATTCAAAAGCTTTGTATTCAGAAAAACCTATGGTCATTTGTAACAGTCTCTGCCTGGAAAAGAACAAAAGGAGACTTTTCACTGCCAGGGCATGTGAACGGGGTGTGATATTAATTTAACAAGAGCAAATAACACAATAGAGTATCTGTCGCCACTTACATTTGCTCCAATTCCAGTGTTGCCTGGCTAAAATATCTTGTTGATACATTTCATTCACAGGCTGAAAAACATACTTAAAATCTTAACATTTTAATTTTATTTATTTCTCAAATGCATCTATTTTTATCGAGTTATGCGTAAAATTTACCAGTCAGAAATGGTAGACATATCATTCAGCATATTGAAATATGGTAGGTAGAGACAACTTTCAGTGACTTGCGTACAAAACATCTGAATATAGTATGCTATGCAGTCAGGTTATGTTTAGAAAGGCAAGAATACATTAAACAAAATCATGTAATGATGACATGATACATGACGATGTTTGTTGCTTTAGGAATTTCACATATCCTAATTCACTGTAGCATGTTGGCTTTCTCTGTAATATTAAATAACCTAATGTGTTTAGAATACTGAGTTTGTTTAAATATAAATGTAGAAGTAAATACATATAGTGTATCTGATTATTATTCTAATCAACGGATATATCAAACTAAACGGTGCTTCTATTATTCACCAGCATCTTTTTAAATGGGCTGCAGGTAGCAGCCTGTCAGTCCTGCAACAACACCACACTTGACATGAATAAGAGCATGCAGTGGAAAATATATAGATGATGCATCTGCGCATATAAGTTTCCCCTGGTGGAGTGCTCTGGCAAAAACAAATGCTCTCATGGAGCCTTATATCCCAAAGCATGTTAGCATGATGTTAGACAAAATATGCTATAGTTATGTCTTTGTTCTGTGTTTTGGAGTGCTGCCATTCCTGAGAACAAGCAGCAATTAAATGTTTCATTAGCTTTGTTTCTGGCTGCTGAAATAATCTTTTAATGCTCAGTAGTAGTTGACATTGAAAATTGACATTGACATTAAAGAATTTCATATTTGCAGTCAAGCCATGGGCAAGCAAATCTTCACCCCATTTTCAAATAGTAAATATCACAAAATGCAAAGAGTTTAAAAATATTCGTATTTACACTATTGTTTGGTTGCTTTAAGATTTGTTGGTTATAGGTCACTATTGTACAGTGGGCTGCGAATGCACTGCAGTGGGCAGAGCAGGAGTGAGTAGCTGTGCATTCCTGTCAGGTCAGGGAGCCTTAGTCCATCATGTCTTCATAGTTCCAGCAGTTACTTCTGTCCTGACACAACTGCTGACAACTTTCAACTCTTGAGATTCTCCCAAGAGGGTTTTAATTTTGCACATTGCTGGACACTGACTGTGGTTCTTAATAGCTAAACCAACACCCGCATCTGAAATAAAAACTAACTCAACAGTGTACATCAGTGGGAAAGAGCCTGTGGTTTGAATGGTCAGGGAGAGGCTGCCGAGAGGAATGTCATAAAGGTTTATGGATGTGTGGTGGCCTTACTACCAGTATATCCAGATGTAAAGCCCATTCTGCTCTCTTCTTCCTATTAATCTGTGAGCCAAACTAGAATTCAAGAAACAGAGTTCTGAACTGGTAAAAAGACCCAAATAGCAGCTAACCCATCATTTGTGATTTTACAGTAGTACTCAATGTCATTTTTTACACTTATTATGATTATTTTTTTAAATAAACAAATAACAACATTACAGAATGGAACAGAAAATAAAATAAAAGTGAAGTAAATTTAATCTTTGTAATATTTTCCAAATAGAATGTAATGGCATAAGTTGTCAGTTGTATATATGTCTCCTCACTTTCATTATTTGTTTATTTGGATTACCTGTACAGATTTAGATTCAGCAAGGTAACCACAACATTGCTGACCTTGATAATAGAGTATCATTTCCTGAGAATAACACCTTGTTTTTTAAACACATTTCCCCACTCTGAATCATCACACTTCTATATACCTTGACACTTTTATGCGATATTAGACTACATCAGTTGGTAATAATTTGAGATATGAGAGTGTAAAATTAAAACTGACATGTATTACAGTACCAGTCGAGTCAAGCTGAATCAAGTTCATTTATATTTGTCCTTAGACCCTCGAACTGGATAAGGAAAAACTGCCAGCCCACAAAAATCTAATGCAGATAAAAATGGAAGAAACTTCAAGAAGAGTAACAGAGGAGGGATGCTTCTTCCAGGAGTGACAGACATGCAATAGATGTTGTCTGTACAGAATAAATCAACACAGTAGGTTTATAGTATAGACAGTCAGTGAACAAATGAACAGGAAATTAACCAATAAAAGGCCCAGGATTCCTGAAGGACGATTCAGGTCCAGACATTGAAGAGACACCAACAGCCAGAAGACAGAGAGGTCCCAGGATGGTTGATGGTCCAGCACAGAGAACCTGAGTGACAGAGGGAACAAGTAGAAGATGAAAGAGGAAGATGCACACAGTTTGAATGCTCATGTGCTCGAGGGAAGAGCAGAGTTTGAGAGATGCAGTAGTTTTCAAAGGTCTGCAGTAATCTGTCAGCAGGACATCATGGCCTATACTTTACACAACTAGGTAGATACATTGAGACTGAATCCACCAGTGGGAAAATAGTAGCAAATATAGTGCAAGAAATAATCAAGACTCTGCCACTAGTTAAAAGTTATAGCATACAGAGTTTGGATTTAAACGCTTCAGTTAAGCCAGAATATCTGATATCAGCATAAATGAAGGATGTGTTGTGATAGGACTAATGTGTTGGCCTGTGTCGCTTGTTGTCAGGGGCAGCAGGTAACTGGTGGACCCAATATGCAGACACACACTGATTGAAACACAAAAGGAGCTTAATGAAGAAATGAGGAGCAGGTTGCTGGGAGGAGGAGAGAAGGAAACAAAGGCAGAGCAAGTAGCATGGTGCTGGGGATGAAGGCAGGCAAATAGCGTGGTGCTGATAGAAAGGCAAGTGGAGTACCTGAGACTGAGTGCTGTGCTGGAGAGTGCTGAGTCAGGGAATGGAGAACTGAAGCTGGGGGAGCAAGAACACAGAGCCGTGAAACGGAAAGCTGGAGAGTGCAGAGTTGGGAAATGGAGAACTGGAGCTTAGGGTAGCAGGTGAGCGTAGACAATGAACCAGTGGGGAGCAAACGGAAAGGGGGTGTATATATAAGAAACTGAACCGGGAGGTAATGAGTGGCAGGTGGATGTAATGATGAATAATTATGCTGGCTAGGACATGACAGGCAGGGAGTGACAGGGAATCCAGGGGGAAACAACAGAAAAACAGGAAGCGAGGTCCACAAACCATAACACTTGTACAATCGCTCTGTAGTTCTGTTTCTCTTTAACAAAATTCCAGTTCCTAACTTTAATCTAGGAATCAATTGAGCAAATGTGATTCTGAGAAATATCCTTTGCAAGTTAGACAGATGATTCAAGGGGATGTGTGAGGATGAATGGCTCTCCATGGAAATATGCCTCTGTTTGAGAATTTCAGTAAAAATGTGGAGAAAACTAATGCTTGGATGGAGTATAGACAGAGACGGAGACTGTGATGTGACTACAAACAAAGCTGAAAAGCTGTGTGCAAGGTGCATATGATCTTCTAGGTAATGATCTTCAAAACATCACCACCAAAGCAGTCCTTGATAATCCAGTTAAGGCACTGGGATTTTTGCATTGTGTTTGACATGCTCTAAGGCAAGCTGGCCTTGTTCGAGGTCACTAACATTTCACACTGATTTGGGACATCACTTTCAGTCACTCAGAGGGCTTTACAAGAAATTATGTACATGTAATCCATTTCTCTTTCATCACCAAAAATGTAAGGCTGTTGTACACATACAAACCCACACACAAATCAGTGGTGGTTTCAGCAGATCGTTTAGTCAAAGGACAGTATGAAAAAGACAGGTTAGTGCAAGGTAAGCTAAAGTTGTGGATCAAGTACATCAGAAGGACACTGTGACATTTTGAAAGGCATATGCATTAAAGACAAACTGCAGGCCAAAGCGTGCTTTTACAAGCCTAGCCTATGATTTGTTAGGAGCAACCAATTAGTGCAGAAGTAGTCCACCATGTCCACCAATGACCTGTAGATTTTCATTGAACTTCACACTCCTCCAACTGATCAGTGCTCAGCAATAAAGTAGAGTGAAAGAAGTTGTCAGTAAAACCACCCACTGAGGTAATCAAACTGTTGGCTATCCATTGCACATGGCTGGTCAAACTTGGCCTGGTGCTTGTGGCATCCAGACCCACCATTTTCTTGAGAGCAATGGACAATCTGCTCCATGGTGCTACTCATGTGCCATGAGCACCTTGAAAACATTTTGATTGCCAGTGTCAAAATAGCAGAGCACTCTGCAGCCTGGATCAGGTCTTTTAGATACTGGGCCTTGACTCAAAAGAAAGAAATATGTTTTGGGCACCTACTGAATTGTGACATACTTGGAAATTACTGTCATTGCAGTGGACCTGTCCCCATTGGATGATAAAATCACAACCATCCAAGAGGCCACCAGTCTTAAGACATTTTTTGAGCTCAGGTCAGGTACGGGAACACCCATTAGGTTTGCCTCATAAATTCTGGCAACACCTAAAACTGATTAGATGGTGAATAGAAAAGGACCCTATCCTGTCCTATATGTCGTGCATAAACATTTTCTGGAAGATGGCTACAGCTTGTTTGGGAACCAGAATGGTTCTACCTCCCTACAACTGAGTAAAGAAGGAGATACAGGAGAATGGTCAGAGTACCTCTCAGGTAAAAAGCCTTGTTTGTCTGTCAGCCCATGTCTGGTGGCTCAATATACGGTACAATACACAAAGAAGTAAAGAACAAAGTGAAATCCTGCTTCTGGTCTTTGGTAAATTGTAGAATGGAGCTTAGGGTAGCAGGTGAGCGTAGGCAATGAGTTCATAGAAGAGATTGGCATTTGTTATGTGGACATAGCTCCTTTTAATCATGCCCTTGATGGTTTAGCAGAGCAAGTACACATAACATGTGAGAGGTTAGTGGTGTAGTGTAAACAGAGCAGAGATGCTGCTCATGAGCAGTTGACTTTCTTACTTCAAAGACTGAGGCCCATTCTCAGCCTCTGGAGCTTTTTTCTAAAGAAAAAAAAAACATCATTTTTCACGAGTTAGAAACGTGTCACCAAGTGCAGCAGTGTGGCTCATAGTGTGTTTTGCATGTACGTGATTTATTCTGAAAAATGTTTATAACAACTCATGCAGACTTCACTAAGCATGCTCAGAGACTACATAAAGTATGCACTATTTGCTATGCTTTGCTAGTTTACCCAGCTTAGGTGAATGAACTACAGATGCCATTTTGATTCCAAGAAAATCTCTACCACATAGGTATAAGTTATATCAAACCAACTTATGAGTGCTAATTGTTATTGTTTGGGGCAACTGGTGATGATAAATAAAAGATAAAATAACAACAGCCATAACATTAAATTTGTGATTTTTCAACAGTTTTTTTTCTTTTCTTTCTTTTGCAAGAAATCATTTTTTTCATGTTTCCCTATTTTATGAATATTTACATACTTAAATTGAGCTTTTTCCTTTTTGCTGCACATTAATAAAGAAGCAGATGGTAATTAGAACTACAACTATTTATTCTTCAGATGTATCTCACACTGACCTACAGTTTGACAATATGTAGAGCATGTTACCAAAGTGTCACAATTAATTACAGAAAATCAGAAATGAATTGCAATTCATATCTATACAAAATGTCACTGAAGCCATGTTCTTCTCTCTATTCCTCCCACCATCACATTTTTCCCCCCTCTCTGATTCATACAGCCTTGCATGCGTGCGCACACTTATAGCATTCAGGGCTGCTTGAGACATTGCATGTCTGCTGCTACAATAAAATCACGCCTACAAATGCTGCCTATGGGTAATCTGAAAAAACAGTAGAAAAATCAACTGGACTTGGACAACATGGCCCCAACACATGCGCATAATGTATTTAAATACATAAGCAGAGCAATTAAATACATAAAATAGCTCAGTCGGTATCATAAGACACTCAATTATTTGAATATTTTTTAAATAAATAACAACATTACCATGAATGTTTAATGGCTGTTTATATGAGACTGCTGTAAAGAGAGGCATGTTCCTTTGACATGTACATTAAACTTTTTAATCACACCTATAAAATTATAAAATCAGTTTTATAGCATCATTAGTATTAATTGTAGAATGACATTTAATGTTCTTCTTCAGACAAAGTTTGTATTTGTTTTATCTAAATAGCAGGTATTACCTTTGTGTGCATGAAAAGAATACTTGTTGTTCCATTCAGTCAGTATATATAGTTACCTTTACTTATAAAATTTAAAAAGTACCACCCATGGCAATGGCACAGATGCAGGTCACTGAATAGGTTATTCATCACAGTAGCGACATCATTTACTTATGCCAGTTATGTAGGCCAGTTGGTGTGTGGTCACATGCATGTCTTGCCTGTTTCTGCATGCGATCTAGTAGGAGATTGTTGCTTTGTCTGCGTACTCCTGCTACACAGTGTCACAGACAGTACTGAGTATTTTTAGTCAGGAAAAATGGTGTGGTGGTCTGACAGTTTCTGTTGATTGATTTGTGCATAGGAACTGGAAACATATGCAAACATAATGAGGCATGAGTCTGCAGACTCGCTCAGGATTGTAGCAAGACAACTGCAATAATCTTAATTATGAGCAAGAAAAAACTAATATAGATAGCTGGCAAAGATAAGAGGACCCAGCTTAGCTCTCACCTTACTCACACCTCAGCCTTCTTGGTAATGTAATAACAAATCATAAAAGCATGGGTGACATGTCACAAAT